ATGTCATCATGGAGGAGTGGAAGAGGATTCCAGTGGCAACCTGTGTAGCTCTGGTGAACTCCATGCCCATGAGGGTTAAGGCAGTGCTGGAAAATAATGGTGGCCACACAAAATATTGATACTTTGGACCCAATTTGGACATTTCCACTTAGGGGTGTACTCACTTTTGTTGCCAACGGTTTAGACATTAATGGCTGTGAGTTGAGTTAATTTGAGGGGACAGCACATTTACACTGTTATACAGGCTGTACACTTACTACTTTACATTGTAGCAGAGTGTCATTTCTTCAGTGTTGTCACATGAAAATATATAATAAAATATTTACAAAAATGTGAGGGGTGTACTCAACTTTTGAGAGATACTGTAAATAAAATTATTGGAGACGGATATGTCGTTTTTTTTTTTCAAACTTTTTTTTATAAACTAAGTTTGGCATCACATAATTAACGTGGACAGCCGTGTCATAATTCACTATGATGTAGTTTTACAAAGACCACATTTATTCAATAGGTGCTGTTTATAATGCAACATCACCAGCAATAAATACACAGATCTGTCTACAAAAAAGACAATGGCCCATTGACAGCACACTATTTTATAGACAAGTAAAATATAATGAATGAAACACAGTTCAAGGAATTGACATGTTTATGTTTGCGTTCTTGGACAGAATAAATTTAAAGAATCTTCAATAGCAGCAGAAGACAGATTGAAGAAGTTTTGGAAAATTTTCCTATTATAAATGAAATTTTTTTTTAAACGTATTTTGTTTGTAAATAAATGGAAAATCTTGCCCACATCGGAAAACTCTCCATTTTCTTCTTGTATTTTGCTATATAAATTCAACCATCAAAAAACCTATTTGAAAAAGCACAAAACAAATGTTAAACTGGGCTCTGCTGTAAAAGCCCAATGACAGTGTGTTATATTTTATTTTGACAAAGTGCGGAGACGGGCAGGACACTGTCCATTATTTTACAACACTGGGATTTTTACAAACGATTGTATCTACATTATAACTTTTTCTTGTTCTTGGATATATTGTTATAGATATGTTGGTTAGAAAACAGATAATTCTATGTTTTTTTTCCCTACTAAAGAGGACTTTACCTTTTATATTATTTATATATTTGCAGGAATTATGTTTTATTATTACTTAATAATATGATTATTAAAAAACACCCTAAAACAATGTGTTCAGTAAATCATTTTAATGTGAAACAAAAGACGCCATAAAGAACATGATGTGTTTACGCATATAGGATAAAGTGTGCACAGAATATTGATGGCATGACAGTCAAAGTGAAGGCAGAAATGATTGAGCAAAAAAAAAAAAAAAAAAAAGTGGACGAATTTAGTAGACTGAATATCTTGGAGTTTTAGGAAACAAAAATATTTACAGCTTGATCAGAGTGTTTAGGGAGTGAAATATAATAAAGTAGTAATTGGAAGCCAAATAAAGACTAAGGGCTAGGTGGAGGAAATGACAGAATGATGAACAGGGAAAAGGTTCATAAGTGAAAGACAACTAGACAAGCTGAACAGCCAGGGAGGTGCAGTAAAGATACATTAGAGAGGAGTAGGATTGGTAGGGATGAAAAGCAAAGGGACTGGGAAATGGGAGAACGGGTATAAGAGGAAGAATCAGGGCAGGGCAGCCAAGGATAGTTGTATATGGCACAAGGAAGGTGGTACAGAGGACAAGAAGAGGTTGGACAGAAACAAAGGGAGGCCCTAGGAAAAGGCAGCATGTGATACAAATTGGAAGGGAGGGAAAGAGACCACACGAACAGAAGCGTTCAACAGAGCCTGTAGGGAGCAGAAAGCACAGAAACCCTCGTAGGATAGGAAAAAGTCAGAGTAACAAATAAAGGGAAAAGGAGCACAAAGTAAGAGGAGCCAGGGAGAGGTACAACTGCTGGAGTAAGACAGGGGGAGGTGCGGAGTATTCAGTGGCATAAATGCTGGAAACGGCAGTGAGAGGTGCGGAGTGTTCAGTGGTATAAATGCTGGAGTAAGGCAGTGAGAGGAGCAGAGTGTTCAGTGAAATAACTGCTGGAGTAAGGCAGGGAGAGGCGCGGAGTGTTTGTGGTATAACTGTTGGAGTAAGGTAGGGAGAGGAGCAGAGTGTTCAGTGGTATAACTGCTGGAGTAAGGTAGGGAGAGAAGCGGAGTGTTCGGTGGTATAACTGCTGGAGTAAGGTAGGGAGAGGAGCGGAGTGTTCAGTGGTATAACTGGTGGAGTAAGGTAGGGAGAGGAGCGGAGTGTTCAGTGGTATAACTGCTGGAGTAAGGTAGGGAGAGGAGCGGAGTGTTCAGTGGTATAACTGCTGGAGTAAGGTAGGGAGAGGAGCGGAGTGTTCAGTGGTATAACTGCTGGAGTAAGGTAGGGAGAGGAGCGGAGTGTTCAGTGGTATAACTGCTGGAGTAAGATAGGGACAGGAGCGGAGTGTTCAGTGGTATAACTGCTGGAGTAAGGCAGTGAGATGTGCGGAGTGTTCAATGGAATAAATGTTTGAAAGGATCGGAGTGTTTAGTGGAATAACTGCTGGATTAAGGCAAGGGGAGGTGCGGGGTCTTCAGTGGAATAAATGCTGTAGTAGGCAGGGGGAGGTGCGGAGTGTTCAGTGGTATAACTGCTGGAGTAAGGCAGGGGGAGGTGCGGAGTGTTCAGTGGAATAACTGCTAGAGTAAGGTAGGGAGAAGAGCGGAGTGTCCAGTGGTATAACTGCTAGAGTAAGGTAGAGAGGGTGTTTAGTAAAATAAATTCTGGAGTGACGTAGAGGAGCCAAGTGTTCAGTGGTATAACTACTGGATTAAGGCAGAGAGAGATGCGGAGTGTTAAGTGGAATAAATGCTTGAAAAGGCAGGGAGAGGAGCAGAGTGTTCATTGGTATAATTGCTGGAGTAAGGCAGGGAGAGGTGCGGGGTCTTCAGTGGAATAAATGCTGTAGTAGGCAGGGGTAGGTGCGGAGTGCTCAGTGATATAACTGCTGGAGTAAGGTAGGGAGAGGAGCAGAGTGTTCAGTGGTATAACTGCTGGAGTAAGGTAGGGAGAGGTGCGGAGTGTTTAGTGGTATAAATGCTGGGGAAGGTAGGGACAGGTGCGGAGTGTTCAGTGTATAACTGCTGGATTAAGGTAGGGAGAGGTTATATAGCTGAAATGAGACTTGCGCCCATCAAGTTCAGCCTTCCTCACATTTGTTTTTTGCTGCTGATCCAAAAGAAGACAAAAAAAAACAAAAAAACAGTTTGAAGTACTTCCAATTTTGCAACAAACTAGGAAAAAAATTCCTTCTTGACCCCAGAATGGCAGTCAGATTTATCCTTGGATCAAGCAGTTATTACCCTACATTGAAAGATTATATCCTTGAATATTCTGTTTTTCCAAGTATGCATCTAGTTGCTGTTTGAACAACTGTATGGACTCTGATAAAACCACTTCTTCAGGCAGAGAATTCCACATCCTTATTGTTCTTACAGTAAAAAAAAACAAAACCTTTTGTTTGCCTTAGATGAAATCTTCTTTCTTCCAGTCTTAATGCATGACCTAGTGTCCTATGTAAAGTCCAGTTTGTGAATAGATTTCCACACAATGGTTTGTATTGGCCCCGAATATATTTGTATAATGTTATCATATTCCCTCTTACGTGACGTTTTTCTAGGGAGAGGAGCGGAGTGTTCAGTGGTATAACTGCTGGAGTAAGGTAGGGAGAGGTGCAGAGTGTTCAGTGGTATAAATGCTGGAGAAGGGAGGGAGAGGAGTTGATTAGAGAACTAGCAGAGTTTGATGCTGTCCGTCATTGAGCTGGTCCTGGACGGCAGGGCTTAGTTCAGGAACACTAACAAGAAGCACCTACCTGGAGTTTCTTGCTTTTCTGCAAGCTGAGAGGAGGTAGCAGAACCCCCTGGCCCCAGTTAAGTAAAGGGTTAAACTGTTTGCTTACATTGCCAGGATACTGCTGGCACCATAATCACTACAGGAAGTATTTCTGTTGTTTCTGTTTATGCAGCCCTAAAATCACTTCCACTGTCTGATTCACATTGCTTCCATTAAAAATCATTCATTCATTTTCAATCACGTGTGAAGGCACAGTCTGTTTACTTAGAAGTTTTTATTTCCTGCTCTGTTAATCAAATTTTAATCACACAAAGGGGGCTTCTGCAGACCATTAACAGAACAGGAGGATACATTTTAAATTAAACAGACTTTGTAATACAGGAAGTTTAAACGGTAGAGCTCTCTTTACAAGAAGTGTGTAGGCCACATCCAGGGGAGGTGTGACAAGGGCTGTATAAACAAAGTGACAACTCCTAAATGGCAGATAATTGAGCAGCGAGACAGCAGGGGCATGATTTGTACACCATAACCACTCCAATATGTTTTGGTGCATAGAGTTCAACTTACATTATTTAAATATCAATTTTTATTTAGTAAAAACATATTGCACCAAATCCTAGCATTTGAAACAGTAAAGTACTTTGTTTACATACTGTTATATTAAACAAATCTTCTGCAGTAAGTTTTGACGCAGACCCGGATTAGGCACACGTGTCATACATTAGGAATTTGGAACCAAACATTGGAGGGAAACTTTTCCAACCTTATTCATAACATCTACTGGATTTATATATTTAATTTGTACCAATAATCCTATCTTGCAAAAGGTGGTCCACTAATTCCTCTTCCAAAACTCCACAGATTTGCCCACCAAAATGCTAACAGGCTTATTCTCTGAAGTGTGAATTTTTGGAATTCAACGTAAGTATTAAATGTTAAGGCACAAGAGCCAGGTTTGAATTATACTAGTAAAGGTAGCTGTGTTTTCACTTTGGTTCTTTTAGAATAAAAGTTATTTTGAATTCCACAATTCACACGTTCGTGAATAATGACATTTATTCCATTAGATTAACAGTAATATACAAAAAGATAAATTCCAAATGAGTAGAGAGAGCATTGAAGCAATACACATACACAATAACACACAAATCCAGAATGTTCTGTAATAATGATGTATTTATTACACTTAATTACTGCAGGTTTCAGTCGGCAAGTATGTTGGCATAATACCACCAGTCCATCGTGTTCTGCTCACATCAAATGAATTGCATTTATTTATTTCTATTTAGTGTTTTATTTAATTTAGACATGTAGGTAGCACATACCCCATCTTGAATAGAACATATATAACACACTAACTGCATGCACATTGGAGTGTAGTAAACTCTGTATTATCTAGACATGTCACAATTACAGTATTGGTTATCTCAGAATGTCAATCCATATACATGACATCACTTCCCCCGATTTACACCACTTTAGGCAGGACTGGGGGGTCGGGGGTGTTAAACCATTGACTCCAGTGGACTTGAAAACACACTTCTACAATGCATCAATTTCCCTCTGGCTTTCAAAGGGTTAAATCACCGACACAACCACATCGACTTAAGAGTTCAATTACAGCAGAAAGTCATTATAACAAGATCGTGTACAAGATTTTATTTCTTTTAATTACGCTGCTTGTTATATTTACAAATGATTGCTATATACAATCAGCAGAAAAACCTCTGCTATGTACATTTCTTATATTTAATTTGTACAAAATATTCTACTCACACTAACATTTAGTACAATCAATTTTCAAATTATGACCCAACGCATTTTGGAGACTGAGATAGAGCGAAGAAAGTGTGTGATGTAACAAGAATACACATGTAATAACAGGGCGCATACTTTACTACCAAAACAAACATTTCTTAAAATCTGTCTGTGCGGTTTATTCATTAAATTGGGAAACGCAAAGAGCTGTCAATGGAAATGGCAATACATCCAAGCTATAAATTAACAAAGTTTCCTACTTTCCCCAAATTCAGCAATTTGAAATGTCCTTATTCTTTCTGATTAATTCTCGACTTGACGTCCAGTGTGTGATTATTCTTATCGTACTATAATTAAAATAGGATCTTTGCAGCATTTGCCAAAGGATAATCTTTCCTGTGTTTGTGGGGGCTACAATATCCGTCCCAGCCACACATGGATACATTTATTTTTCGTGTGGTCATTTCGCGTCCTTTGTCAGCATCAAACATTTCTAAATAAATAAACTCCTGGTCGTACAGATGGATTCCCCATCAGAGCTTATTGTTTATGCACATACATAATTGGTAAAATCAGCTTATTCACGAGAACTGCATTTGATTCACTCAGCAGGTAGAAAAACAATATTAAATTAAATTGTGTCTACTTGAAAGACTAAGGGAAAAACTTGGAGACCCAAATAGAGAATATGTTATTTCTTACTTACTGTTTAGATTTGCAAAACAGCATCTCATGTTGACAAACTACATTAAACCTACTTTATTTTTCGCTCCATGCTGTGAGTTTTCTTTGTTTGGCATATCTTAACGTGAGATGTAAACTTTATACAATGTTGCTTGAAAGAAACTTTCTGATCTACAAAGAGCTAAATGAATGATATAAAAGCAGGATGCTCCGTGTTTTATAGATAGGAAATCGTTACCCTGTAAAATGTTTCACTTTATTTCATTTACTTAATTCAAGGTGTAATTGCTTTATATGAGAAATGTACAACATTGTATAATTTACATCTGAGCTGTCTAAAAACATAACTGTAAAACCTTTAAACTTTGCCTTAGATTGCATTGATTAGACGAGTGGCCTAGTTTCAGAATGTATATACTGGAAGTCTGGAGATGAGTAGACAGTTGGGGGTTTTATTGACTAAAATCCAATTTGCTAAAAATGGTTGCATAAATGTTACCTTTTGGATACTAATTTTCTACAATGCAGACTTCAGTCAATACCCTGCAAGCTGTAGATTGTTGAAAATGAAATAGGAAATCACAAATGTTATGCTAAATTAGCCGAGTTAGAGAACACAGACTAAAATGTGCAATTTCCTATTCAATTTCCCTGGTTTAGTGAATAATTCAGAGATTTGCCAAAAAACACATCTGGGAATCAGACCCATAATGCGCTCTCTCATATCCCTATGGATAATTAAAAGACCACTATAGGCACCCAGACCACTTCAGCTCAATATAGTGGTCTGGGTGCCAGGTCCCTCTAGTGTTAATCCTGCAGAGAAACTGCTATGTTTACATTAGTGTTAATGCAGCCTCTGGTGGCGGTCTCACTGACAGCCGCTTGAGGCGCTTCCGCCTGTGAAAATCACAGTGAGAAGACGCTGGACATCCATAGGAAAGCATTGAGAAAAGCTTTCCAATGGACTGATTGAATGCGTGTGCGGCTCTTGCCATGCATGCGCATTCGGCGGATGATGTCGGAAGAGGGAGGAGAGTCCCCAGCGCCAAGGGAGCCCGGCGCTGGAGAAAGGTAAGAATTTAACCACTTCCTCCCCCTTCAGCCCGGCGGGAGTGGGACCCAAAGACCGAATAGAGACAAAAAAAAGAGTTTGTTTTCCTGGCACTATAGTGGTCCTTTAAATTACAGGTGGTGTTAAATATCACTCCAATGGCCATTAAAGTGCAAGCTCATCTGCCACGTCTTAGTTGAGTCCTATACTAACAATTCACATTGTGTCTTTCGGTTTCAAGTAAAAAAAAAAAATCTCTTGAGACAGAAAGGGGTATTGAATAAACCCCTGCACAGTTACTAACCCTTAACAGGGCGCACGTGGGATCGGAGGCAGCACCCCATGGCTATGGAATAGGGAAGCAAATACAAACATACAAATTAAGCCCTGCACTCAAACTTCCACTACTCCTGGGCGGCAGCATTGGCTACATTACTCATCAACCTTAAAATAGAACAAAAGCTGTTATTTACACGTGCCTTTGGATAGCGTGCAGGTCACTTTTGTTCTATGTATTTGGGCTGATGTATATGGTTTCCATTGCTTCTGCCCAGGGGGATTTGGAGTATAGGGCTTAATTTTGTGTGTACCTATTGCTGGGTGGCCCTGCATTTCCTTATTAATAGGAATCGGTAAGAGAAATTGTGGGGCAACATTGTGAAAAGGAACAAGTGGAATGTTCCTGCCGTTTGCTCCAGTTTCGAAACTTTGCCCCAGCAATTCTCATGGCAAAACCTACACCGTGCAATGTCTGTGGGTATCTATTCCAAAAAGTCACTTCCCATATTTTAAACAACTTCATTTAGTTCTGATTTTAGACAAATATTTTTTACTTGGGACTTAATCGTAAACATACTTTTATCACTGATCTGATGGGCAGTGATACGTATTTCGGGGCATCCATGTTCTTATCGATGAACCGTAAGAATTCTAATATGGCTTAACGCACAGGAATACTGTGCTACGTACCACAGATGTCTTAGAAGTTCCGCAGTCTGTAACAGTGACTTACACGTTTCCATGTCTTCTTATTTGTTAAGTCTTGTACATGACAAGATACTCACTTTAGTAGTTTTTATAATTTTTCTTTCGTTACCGTCACACTCTTGGTCTGACATTTTGTTTTCATTCCTAGGATATTGCTTTAATCTCAGCTGTATTATATTAATAAACCTTGCACTTATCGTTAGTAAAAATAAAATACATTTTTTCACTGTGATTAAAGTAAATCTACTTTAGTCAATAAATGATTTAAGTGACAAAAAAATACATATTTAATGAAAGATGTCATTTTTTTTTTACGTAAAAATGTTTATGAATAATATGATTAACACAGAAAGCATATAAAAGCCAGACAAGTTACTTAGATTACACTGTCAGGTTCTTTCAAAAAAGAAATAATATTAAACTAGAAGACAGCTAAAGAGTTTTGCTTTTGACTAGTATAAACTTTGTTATATTAAATAAGAAATTCTACAGGAAATTGTAAAAAATAACAGGCTATTTATATTAAAATATTACTGATTATAATCTGAGAATAATGAATAATACATTACATATTTTATCGACAGTCATTGGGGTTCTATCATTTCTTGTAGGAAGATAATGTTTAAGTGAAGCATTAAAATAAAAATAAAATAGATATATATAAAAGCACAGATAATACAATAGAAATCCTATTTTTCCCATTATACAGCTTTTTTTGTGTGTGGTCCTCATGGAAATATGGCTTGCTAGTCAGTTTACATTGGGTTGAGTTCTATTTTGTATTTTCCTAACTTACATTTAAGATGAAAAATGTTAATTAAATAGAAATAATAATAATAAAAAAAATTATCTACTTTTATTCAGCGCTGCGGAATATGTTGGTGCCTTCTAAATGTCAGTAATAAATAAACATACTTTTACTTTAAAACATTGAGTCTATTTTTCCATACAGCTCAGATATAATGCTAAGAGGTGCTGATTGATATTGCATATGGTGTGACTCATAGACCTCTCAAACAGATCCTATTGGTTAGAATGAGGTCCTGTAAGCCAGCAATAAATATAACAGTCAGTCATGCTACAAACCAGGAGTGGCTAATAGGAAGCACTACACTTGTAGGACATTTCTGATGGGTCCTAGAGAGTATTTATTTTGGAGAGACTGTGAATTTGTGGAGTTTTGTTTCACTACAGAGAGAACCAGCAACATTTTAACATGAGAATATTCTATGTTTAAACATTTCCAGATCACTTTATTTTGACTGAATAAAACTCCACAAATTACGCAGCGTCTCCAAAATGTTTAGTTACCAAAGTCTGAAGGTTGAGGCGTTAATGAGACTCCATGCATTCAGTCAACAGCTATAAACATGATGGGAGAGCATCATGGAACCCACTAAATTGTCAGCTCTCTTTATCAAGGATCGTATCTACTGTATGTGGGCCCTCCAAAAACATTAATAGTGACTCAACAACTGTTGGGAGACGGAAAGAGTATTATATCAATGAGCAGGAAAACAATTTGCGGGGGTTGGGGGTTTGTGTTTTTGTTTTACATACATAGGGCTATACTTAATAAATAGCGCCCATAGCATTTTAATAAAGATCTAAAGTAATGGATTGGTTTAGTACAGTTCCCCTTAAAATCCAGCTTAATTTCCATTACACGTTGGCAATTATACCTGTTTGCACACACACATCCCCATATGGGCGAAAAACGCGAGAATCATTGATACGTAGTGTGGTGGTTTGGTTGGTCTTTCTGGATAAGTATACCCAATTTATATTGTATATACCCAATTTTTACTGTATTTTATTATGTTGTGCAAATCACTGATATATTATCTGTAATGTGGTATATGTGCCTTGCCTGGCTGTAAACATATAAAGACAATAAAAGTGCAAAATATGCAACAGTTTTGTGAATTTCAAGTTCTGTTAGTGAGAATAATTTAGCTGCGAAATTCTTTAATTTCAGAGAATATAAAGGTGAACAGTCCTCGCACAGCACACCTTTCACAATGTCATGTACAATTCATAATAAAATAGTATATGATTGATAGAGAGATATAATCTATCATATACACACATACATTTCATGTGGCCCTATCATCACATCTCTCTTATAGCAATTATAAATGTATTAAGATGTTCGTAATATATTCTATCGTTTGTTTTTATTAGAAACATTTTTCATAAAATATGGTGTTGCATACCCTGCACACACTGGAGCATCAGATAGTTTTCAAACACAATGTGGGAGATTACGTATTTTGATTTTAAAAAATCGTCTGACATCCTAAAAAGGGTGCAATCACCATGGAAACCAAGTCATATTCCCTTGATGACTCCTCCCTTTTTATATTTTTGCACCACTTTTTAGAACAGAACATTCTGACAAATATCCATTCTATTTTTTGCCTCTTTGTGCATTGGGTTACATGAAGCACTCAGGGAACTTCCCAGTATTACATCCTCTATACCCTTTTTTAATCAGTAACTGTCGCTGAAGGTACAAAAATAAATATGATTTACCTCCACTTGAATAAACTAACATCTTCAAATATTAACCACAGATAAATCTACAGAAATATGGTCACATTCTAAAGAGAAATTCTAAAGAGATCCTGCTGGGAATCTGTTGGCAAATTGTTTTAAACAGATTTAAAAGTCTCTTTAATAGTATCCACTTACTGTCACATTACCAAACATGAAAAGCAGATATGAAACCCAAAATGTGTAAACAAAAAAAAATGCATTGAATTTATCTGTTATCACTGATATGATCAGATTTAAAGAGATTGTGTAATTATTCTTAAAATTATTGTTTTCTCAAAGGCAAAAACACAGGGTATGGAAAACGTCCCAGCTGTGTGAAAGCCAAATGTTAGATGTGTTTTAATTCTTAAAAATATTCAGAAATACGAAGACTAAGATGCGTAGTTCCCACAGAATTTGGAATATCTGCACATGAACCCTTTCTTATAATCAAATGTACAAAAACAGATTTATTCACCAGAAGATTATGTCATCTGTTCCTTATATAATCCTATAATTACAAGGTAAAAATATGCTTTTTTTTGGTATATGTTATATTCATGTGTATATATACCTGGCACAACGGCAAAATCTAAAATCAGGCAACTAGGTATTGGAAATTTAAATAAATGTGTTACAATTGGTAAAAGGAAAATAAAAATGGAAAAACAAAAATTCAAACAGATACATATCAGAGATAATAAAGGGTATCTAAAAATCGATTCAGCTTCATTTTTTGTAATGATTAGGGGCATCTGCAAATGCAAACTTCAATCTGTAGGCTTCTGCTAGTAAGATGCTAATGTCTTCGTTACCCCACTGAGCAGTTGGTAGATTCTGCAACAGGATCAATAAGCCCTGAAAAGAGACAAGCACAAATAAATACAAATTAAGCACTATGTACACAACCAAGGTTTAGCTTTCTGGAGAACAAAATTCTAGATGCAGCCATCAGCTTTGCAATTTATTTATTAATAAAAGCTTTCATATCAGAGTTGTCATTACATTGAGTACAAAATGATTGGGATTATTCTAGCCTTGGGGAATGAATAATCTAAATTTTATTAAAGACAGGAAACTGAGATTTTCTTAACATCCTTAACCGATACCTCCAGCAACAAAAAACCAACCAATCAGCATGCAGAATGGGCACGAACAAATCCCAATAGGAACCTCCTACCTCATCTGAGGTCAAGCAGGAGCGCAGAATAGTAAGACAGGAGTAGAACAACTTTGTCTTTACTTTTCCTTAGGTATATTATGAAAGTAAAGGGGTAAAAATACAAACGGACTCTGACACAGAGCTATACAGAAGTAAACTGTATGAAGTTTAGTTTTGGTGACAGCAGGGCTTTAAAAAGAAAAAGTATAGTATACAACGTGGCAATGTTATAAATCCAGAAAAAACACACTTGGTGAAGGTGGACTTGGGTTCACTAGAATGGTGGTTCCCAAACATTGTAAACACTGCCGTTACCCAAACCACCTCAAAACGTTCAGGACCGTAATAGGTAGAACGCAGTCCTCAAATTTTTTATTATTATTTTTAACTAGTGTCAGCAGTAAAATTGTGATTCCAATCTGGCAAGTGATTAAAAGTAATAAGTACACTTGTTTAGAACTGTGCATCTCTCTTTGTTACAGCTTCATGTAATTGCAAGGTGTATTAACTGCTTGTGAATACAAAAAGAAATAAAAGTGTGCCTTGGAATTTTTTCCTCATTGCAAGTCGACTTTGGCCCAAGAAAGGTTTTGAACCACTGCTCTAGACAGATGTCATTTATTTGAAAGTCATCAGTGTACGACGACAAACGTTCTGAGCTGTCTCACTGGTATTATTTCACAGTGTGTTGAGTTTTTGAAAAGTGTGTTGTGCAACGTTAATAATGACTTTCATATAAATGGGATCTCACTAGCATATCCATGTTTTACTTTCACAAAGTCTGTAGATATTTGGAATACTTTAATATTTTGCTGTTTACTCCATTGGTTTTTGCTGATTACTCCACTGGATTAAAAAAAAACAAAAAAACCCAAAAAACTATTTAATAGATATTTACCCAAATAAAGCATACATGTATTTTTTTTACTTTTCCATGTTTATGGTATATGAACAGCTTGCAAAGCATTCAGTCTGTGTCTGGAATTCACATGAGGCTTTCATTGAGAAACCTGAATGCTGGATCTACAAGTGTGTGTGATCGCAGCCTTCTCATGCTTCTCAAGGAGGTATAGTAAAACTGATTGAGAAAGGGGAAGGCAGGGGAGCGGTAGCACAGCACATCCGACACCTCTGTTAGGTCTGTGGAGCTAACAGAAAAGGATGAAAACTTCCCTGGCTGGCTGATTGACACCGAGAGAGGTGTTTCTGACAAATAAAGTGACGATTTCTAATTTGAAATCTGATAGAAACTTGCACTTTTATAAAACGTCTTAAAAATTACAGATTCCAGACGCATAGAACACTTCAACAAGCTGAAGTACTTTAGGTGTGTGGAGTGTCCCTTTAATGTGAGAGGGAGAAGTTTTAAAGGGAAATTAATAAGATAAAATGTTACATTAGATTATCAATGAAGAAATACCCCTTGAATTCAGTTTCCAAACTGCTGGTTTAATGTTGCTAAATTAATTTCACATACAGCAGGTGTCATCTGCATGTTATCACTTGATTGATGATTCATTGCAATGCAAATGTTTAGATTTGCATGAGGATCTCATTTCGTACAATACTATCAGTGCAATGTAGAAGACATCTTGCATCAAGGAGAAAGGTTAAAACACTGAAACAGACGTTATTACAGTCTGATTATAACCGGAGGCTATATCAAACGCATTTGTAATATGTACTC